CTGCCACGTGGCTTCACCGTGGATGAAGGTGCTGTTACCGCCAATCCACTCGAGTGCCGGCCCTCGCATCAGTGTCGCCGCGAGTCGTACACGTTGACCGTCCCAGACTGGCGAGCTCCATCCGACGGCTGCGAAGTAGATCTCCATCCCGGCGATCCATCTGCGGGCGTCGGAGTTTCGATCGCTCGGATCGAACGGCTCAGGTGGGCGCGGTTTTGGAGCCTCGAGAAATTGCTGCGACTGCTGCGTCGTCGCCGTTGTCGTCTCGTGCTGCGCTCCGGCGAGTCGAGTTACTCGCTCGAACTGGTTTCGCCACGCTTCGCGATCCGCTCGCATTTCCTCCTGAAGGGCTGCGATGCGCGCGAAGAGCTGCTGGGTAACCTCGGCGTTGTCGAAGGTTGCCATCCTGTTCAAAACACGCACGGAGGGGGTAATTCGAAAATCGCGGAGCTGGTGCTTACCAGAATCGGCGTCGAATTGGTCGCCCCCGGCGGTTTTTCGAAGCAGGTTTTCCCGCTGCTGCTGCTTTGTTGAGCGCGGCCGAGTGAGAAGAGCTCTGATACCAAGTGTCACAGGATCGAATGACTCGAGGATCGATTGCACTATCGATCAGTACAAGGCGCTTTTATACTTCCAGAGTACATCAGGTAACCAGGTTTATCCTATCTAAAGGAATAGACCCTTCTAGAAAATAGAATCACCCTGCGTATAGCCACGCGAGGCTATTGGCTTTAAGGGATTACGGCAGGATTACGCTAGATAGCGTGTCTAGAACATTCCATGCCTGGTCGGTGATATAATAATAATAAAGGAAGAAACCAAAGGATAAGGGAAAATGGGAAATATGAGGCCACAAGAGATGAGATAAAAAGAGGAATGAAATGAAGATGAAATATGGAAAAGGCCAAGTGGTGTAACGAGGTCGTACTCTCACAGTCGACAGGTACATGGGCGGGCTGAAGCCTGAAATGCAGTACCAGATAAAACTGCAACGACATGCGAAGCGGTTACAAGATTTTATCCAACTCCCCGATTCGCTCACGAAGCCGAGGACGAACTTCTACGACGGAGGTCGCCCTCGAGAACAGTACCAGCGCGCCATGATAAAAGGGATGGACGCAATGGATATTTATGCAGTTGCTCCGCGAAATACGGGGCTATGCTACCACTGTGGCCGACCGGGTCACATCCGACGCAACTGCCCAGAAATCATAGCCACTCGGAGTTCTATGGGGAAGAAGCCGGAGGAGCGACCGGGAAATGGGTCGCGTCAGTAAGTACCGGGCCCCTTATTGATGGGCAGGCTTCTTCGCCCGAACCACACAGTCCCCACCGGGTCGTGATCCCGATTGCTGCAATCGACCGGACCCGGACGAATAAGGGGGACGAAACTGCTGATCACCCTGCGTTGGTGGAGGGTAAAGTCAACGGGGTGTTGCTAAAAATATTCGTGGATGGAGGCGCGAGTCACAGTCTCATACAGCTGGACAGGGCTAAAAAATTGGGTATTCCCCTACTTAAGTGTCTACCCGAAATTGACGCCCGCCTAGTAGATGGAACACCGCTGGCTATACGGGAACGAGTGGAGAACGTCAGTTTCCACTGCGGGGAGCACGTAAAATTTTGGATGGGACTGCTGGCGACTACACTCGACAGATGCGACGTGCTGCTGGGACGGGATTGGCTGCGACAGTACAACCCGAAGATTGACTGGACTACGGGCGGCTGCAGCATCAAAATCGATGGGCTTCATCGCGAACTCCCGAAATGGACGGGGCCGCGAATTAGAAACACCCAAGTCCATGTGATAACTTTCAAGCGCGCGATAAAAGCGAGAGCTGCAGCGTATGCCGTCGATCTTTGCGAAGTGACGTCGCTGACAACAGCCGAAGATATCGCGAAGCTGTGCGAAGCTGTCCCTCCGGATTTAGCGGACCTGATTCGGAAGTACTCCGAGATTTTCCCGGATGATCTGCCCGCCGGACTGCCACCGAGCCGACCAGAAGACCGTCGCATCGAGCTGGAACCAGGTGCCCAACCGACAGTACAGCGACAATTTCGGCTCAGCCAACCGGAACTGGAAGAACTGCAGCAATAGCTGGATTATCTTCTCACGAAGGGTTTTATCCGGCCCAGCACGTCCCCATACGCTGCCCTGATCCTGTTCACCCCGAAGAAGGATGGAGGATTCCGCATGTGCATCGACTACAGCACGCTCAACAGGATCACAATCAAGTCACGTTACCCGATCCTGCGAGCTAATGACTTACTGGACCAACTTCGCGGAGCCAAGTTCTTCTCGAAAATCGATTTGCGAGGAGGTTACCATCAGATTCGCGTCGCTGCCGAAGATTGTCACAAAACCGCTTTTCGAACCCGCTACGCCAGCTACGAATACCTGGTGATGCCCTTTGGCCTTACGAACGCGCCCTCGACATTCCAGATGACCATGAACGGCGTTTTCAGGAAACTCTTGGATAAATGCGTTATTTTCTACCTCGACGACATACTAATCTACAGCCGCAACAGGGGGCAACACTGTTGCACAAGAATCGCCTCATCACGAAAGGGTCTAAGTGCGACTTTCTTAAGCAGGAGTTGGAGTTTTTGGGACACGTCGTCTCTACCGAAGGAGTGAAAATCGACCCCAAGAAAATCAAGACCATACAGGAGTGGAAGCCGCCAACAAACCTCAAGGAGCTGCAGAGTTTTTTGGGTTTCGTCAACTACGTCCGCCGCTTTATACCCAATATGGCTGGGTTATCTGCCCTGCTAACCGACCGACTGAAGGATCCCGATTGTTTTTGGTGGGGAGAGAAGCAGCAAGCTGCATTTGACCAGCTGAAGATCGTCGCCCGTCCTTCGCATCTCCGATCCTGACCGTCCATACGAAGTCATCACCGACGTCAGCGACATCGCCAACGGCGCAGTCCTCCTACAGGATTTTGGCAACGGGTTACAGCCAGTCGCCTACGAATCACGGAAGCTGCAGGGCGCGGAGAAAAATTATGCAGTACACGACAAGGAAGTGCTGGCAATCGTCCACGCTTTCAAGACCTGGCGGTGCTACCTGACGGCGCTGACGTTACGGTGCGAACTGACCACAAATCCTTACAGTACCTGCGAGCCCAACCGAACCTCAACCCGCGACAGATCCGATGGCTCGATTTCCTCGAGTCGAATTTCCATTACACCATCACCTACAAACGGGGTGCCAACAATATTGCCGATGCCCTGACCCGACCCACTGCCCATACCGCCGCCATAGTAGTTGCCCAGACCAGCCCATTACTTACCGGACTATTTACCCACGGCTACAGAATCGACCCTTTCTTCCGCTCTGCTATTCATCAACAGCATACCACCGCCAACGGACACTATTTTAATAAGCACGATACTTCTCGCATTTGGGTACCCGGCTACGATTTACTTCGTACCCTGTTAATACAGGAATCCCACGACAACCCGATCTCCGGGCATTTTGGCGTCGACAAAACTCTGAAGACGTTGCAGCGCAACTATTATTGGCCGAACATGGCCGACGACATGCGCAAGTACGTGTCCTCCTGCACCGCCTGCCAAATCATAAAGTCCTCCTATCAGCGAGTAGCCGGACTCCTACAGCCGTTGGATCCGCCCGAGCGACCCTGGCAACATATTACGATGGACTACGTGACGGGATTGCCAGCCAATCCCAGCGGAAACGACGCCATCCTCGTAGTCGTTGACCGACTCACGAAAATGGCGCACTTCATCGCTTGCCAACAGACAATCACAGCCGAGCAAACTGCCCAACTGTTTATCGCCAACGTCATTAGACTCCACGGACTGCCCACCGCAATTATTTTAGACCGATACCCGAAATTCACATCGAATTTCTGGAGCAAACTGTGGGTCCAATTCGACACCAAACTGCAATTTTCCTCCGCCTACCACCACAGACAGACGGGTAGACCGAACGAGTCAACCAAACTATGGAGCAGCTCATTCGAACTACCTGTACTGACCCACAGACATGGGAGAAATCCCTTCCGCTGCTGGAATTCGCGTATAACAACGCGCCCTCCGCGACAACCCATCAGTCCCCGTTTTTCCTTAATTACGGACAGGACCCAGTGGTACCTTCTATCACGAACATCGAGACACTCGTGCCCCGGTCCCAGAAATTTGCTGAAGACATTCTCGCCGCCCGAGAAAAAGCAGCTGAAGCCATCCGGAAAGCCAACCTGGTCACAAGCCGACAAGCTGATCGCCATCGGCGCGACGTCACTTACAAAGTGGGAGATCTCGTCCTCCTCGACACTCGCAATTTGCGGCTGCCGATCCCGAGCAAACTCCGCCCCCGATTCTGCGGACCCTTTCAAGTTACGAATATCGTGACACCTGTCACTACTCACCTCCGACTCCCAGCTGACTGGCGTCACCACCCGGCTTTCCACGTCGGCCTCTTACGGCCCTACGTCCCCAGTTCGTCAGACTTGGCGCGCCAACGCGCAGTACCGCAACTGACGCCTCTGCAGGAACCGACAACCGAGCCTTTGAAAATTCTCGGCCATCGAGTCACGACGCAGCTGAACCGCCGGATGGTTGATTTTCTCGTCCGCTGACATGATCGCACATCCGACGATGACATCTGGGTGCTGCTCGCTGAGCTAGAATCACACCCGATTCTAACCGCGTATTATCGGCGTCGGAACGTTTCCGATGCCCGCGGTCTCGTTTAGGAGGGGGGGGTAGTGTAAGGAATTTCCATTCCTTACTGAGTCGTAATAGCGACCTTGTATTCTCACGTTATAGTACATTGACACTTCCTATTTCATAACAATGTACCTTCTGTAGTTACATGCCAAAATAGGGTAACTGAACCAAATATCGAATTGAAAATATGTTATAAGGACACGCCCTAATTGTCGCGCCCCTGTCCTTACAACTTCACTGCTGGTGTCCATTGTTTTTCACAGCCCTGCGCGTTCGGTGCAGCGGCAGTCGCAGAGTGCGGCCAGCCTCTGCTGTCCAAAGGCTGCATCGATGCTGCCAGGGTGGTCTGGAGATGCACGCAACATACGCTGCAGCATGTATGGCGCCTAACTTCCCGTGTGTATGTTGCGCAACTCGCCTGCAGTGCACGCTTTTGGTGCTCTCTTGGCCTGAAAATGGACTCCCGAGTCCCCAAGGAGAAACCCCAGGAATTTCAGCCCCAGAGCATGGGCGCGACCCGCCCGATTCTTCTTGGTTCATCCGGGTTCGCGTTCCCAGATGAACCAAGAGTCGGGCGTGTCGCGCGTTTTTTCTTCAATCCTCGATTCTTGGCTTCTCGGAGAATTCGTCTCGAGACACTCCACGCGCACGGGGGTTGGGGCAGTTCGCGATGTCTGGAACGATTCAAGCAATGCCGGCGAGCACCCGAGCCAACGACTGGCTTACTTCTTGGCTGGCACTTCACGGTATTCTCGAGATACTCGACGCGTAGGGGTTGGGGGAGTTCGCGATTTCTGGGACGACTCGAGCCATGGCGGCGAGCACGCGAGCAGACGACTGCCTCTCATCCAGGCTGGTACTTCACGGTATTCACGCGACACTCGACGCGTAGTAGTGGCGGTTGAGACGAGTAGAGCATTCCGCGATTCTTGGGACGAGTCGAGCCATCATGGCGGTGAGCACGCGAGCCGACGACTGGCTCTCATCCCAGCTGGCCAGCGACGGTCGCCGGGAGGCGGAGTTCCTGGCCGGAGGATTGAGAGCAGTAACCACAGCCCCCAACAGCGACGTTTGCACGGAGGCGGAGATCCTGGCCGGCAGGCTGAGAGCAGTAATCGCCAACCCCAACAGCGACGGCCGCCGGGAGGCGGAGACACTCTTGCACGCGGTTCCAGCCCCGGCTGTTCTCGAGAAATCGGCAGGGGTTCCCGGGCAGCGGGCGCGGCAGGGGGTCCCACACGCCCCGTTGGTCAGCGACGGCCACAGGGAGGCGGATATCCTCGCCCGGGGCAGGGGCGGCTCTACGGCAGTGCGCGTGGCTGAAGCTCCAGGGCAGCGGGCGCGGCAAGGGATATTTGAGGCACCTCAGAAATCGGCAGGGGTTCCCGGGCAGCGGCCGCGGCACGGGGTCCCACACGCCCTGCTGGCCAGCGACGGCCGCCGGGAGGCGGAGGTCCTGGCCCCCGCGGTTCCACTCCCGGCTGTTTTAGACAACTCTCAAAAGCACCCTGCAAATTCCACCCAGCTGGCCAGCGACGGTCGGCGGGAGGCGGAGGTCCTGGCCCGCGCGTGGTTCCAGCTCCGCCTGTCCATTCGCGCCCCCAATCGCTTTCCCCCGTGGGACGCGCTGCTGATCACCGCTGCGAGCGACGCGCAGGCTGACCTGTACTCCAGGTAGGTCCGTAGGTAGGTTCATGCTCTTTGTAGACGTATGCTCTCTGTAGACGTATGCTCTTTGTAGACGTATGCTCTTTGTAGACGTATGCTCTTTGTAGACGTATGCTCTTTGTAGACGTATGCTCTTTGTAGACGAAAGCTCTTTGTAGACGTATGCTCTTTGTAGACGAAAGCTCTTTGTAGACGTATGCTCTTTGTAGAGGTATGCTCTTTGTAGACGAAAGCTCTTTGTAGACGTATGCTCTTGGTAGACGAAAGCTCTTTGTAGACGTATGCTCTTTGTAGACGTATGCTCTTTGTAGACGTATGCTCTTTGTAGACGTATGCTCTTTGTAGACGTATGCTCTTTGTAGACGTATGCTCTTTGTAGACGTATGCTCTTTGTAGACGTATGCTCTTTGTAGACGTATGCTCTTTGTAGACGAAAGCTCTTTGTAGACGTATTCTCTTTGTAGACGAAAGCTCTTTGTAGACGTATGCTCTTTGTAGACGAAAGCTCTTTGTAGATGTATGCTCTTTGTAGACGAAAGCTCTTTGTAGACGTATGCTCTTTGTAGACGAAAGCTCTTTGTAGACGTATGCTCTTTGTAGACGAAATCTCTTTGTAGACGAAATCTCTTTGTAGACGAAATCTCTTTGTAGACGTATGCTCTTTGTAGACGAAAGCTCTTTGTAGACGTATGCTCTTTGTAGACGAAAGCTCTTTGTAGACGTTTGTTGTTGGTAATTTTACATCTCATGCGCTCAACTGTTGTTTTGAGGCGTCTCGAACGAAACTCCCTCTGTGGGACGCGCTGCTGATCACCGCTGCTGCATGCATGCTATGCATTGCACATGCATATTACGACCCACCGCCTTCTCACACCACCACCTTCTCACCCCACCACCTTTCTTACCGCTCTCAACCTTACCCCATCAATCTCCAGGCAGCTGGCAGCAGCGCGGCACAATGGGCACATTGCAGAGAAGACCATCGTGCTGGCAGGCAGTGCCAACCCCCACACCGCCTTGGCCTCATCCACACCCTCCTGCCCTGCCCCTGTCGCCAATCCGCCTCTCTCCAGGCAGCTGGCAGCAGCGCGCCACAATGGGCACATTGCGCAGGAGACCATCGTGCTGGGGGAGGTGAGATCTGGATGGGGATAACTGTCTGGGGTGGCTTTCGAATGGACTCGAAGTACCAGACCAACAGAGCAACATTGAGTCCGGAGGAGCGACCCTGGGAGCAATTCGGGTGCTGAGGGACTACCTGGGGGAGGTGAGACTGATTCAGGTTACTGGGGGAGGTGATATCTGGATGGGTCTGGAGCTTACTTACTGGGTCTGGAGGAGAGACCTGGCAGCTATTCGGGCGCTGAGGGACCACCTGGGGGAGGTGAGACTTGCAGCGACAGCAGGAGCAGGAGGTTACAGCAGGAGCTATTCGGGCGCGGAGGGACCACCTGGGGGCGGTGAGACTTGAATGGGATTACCTGGGGACAGTGAGACTTGAATGGGATTACCTGGGGGAGGTGAGACTTGAATGGGATTACCTGAGGGGGGGTATTTCAGTGGCTGGCAATTCACACAAGGCGAGGAGAGAGATATGTCGAATATTCTCCGTATATGCTTTTGCCTCTTTTTTCCCCCTCTCTCCCCTTCGCCTCGCCTCACTCCCCAGTCATCCACAGCCCGCCTATCATCCGTGCAAGTGCTTCTGGTGACTACAGTGGGCCACATCAAGCGTCTTTCCTCTCTCCTTTCTCCCCCTCGCTCCTCCCCTCCCTCCCCTCCCCCCCCCCTTCCCTTCCCTCCCCTCCCCTCCCCTCCCCTCCTCCCCCCTCCCCTCCGTCAGTCGTCCACTGCCTGCCTATCATCTATGCGAGTGCTGCTGGTGCCTGCAGGGGGGCACAGCAAGCGCCTTTTCCTCTCTCTTTTCTCCCCCTCTCTCCCCCCCCCTCTCCCCTCCCCTCCCCTCCTCTCCGTCAGTCATCTGCAGCCCGTCTATCATCCATGCGAGTGCTGCTGGTGACTGCAGCGGGCGACAGCAAGCGGCTGCCGTGGGCCAACCCGTGTGGCAAGCCCTTTGTGTCCTTCCCCCTGCTGGCTGGAGACGACCCTGACGGACCCCCGTTGACCCTCTTTGACCACATCCTGGCCGTCTCTTCACGCGCCCTGCTGGCTCTCCCACCCAATAGTACGTTACTGCATTTAGTTTTCACCAGGCGTCTCAGTCTAGACCTTATGGACCCCCCTTGACCCTCTTTGACCACATCCTCACTGTGTCCTCACTGTCTCCTTGCTGGCTCTCCCACCCAAGCAAGTATAAGCTGAGTGGATGTGCTTCCGGGCTTCAACACGCCAGCCATGGTGCTCCCATCCCACGGTGCTCTGGTTATCACCGCTGCCGTGCTGTGCCCGTAGACGTGGCTTCCAGGCACGCAGTGATCGTGGGTGCTGGCCTTGGGACTCAAGCAAGCATGTTGCGTCCAGTTGTATTTTGAGTCGGCTCAAAATACAGCATGTTGCGTCCAGGCACGGAGTGGTCGTTGCCGCGGGTGATGCCGCGCCACAGCCCCACAGCTCCACAGTGCTCTCGTTGTCACTGCTGCCGTGCCACTAGACGTGACTTCCAGACAAGCAGTCGTGCTGGCCTCGGACTCAACCAAGCATTTTGCTTCCAGGCGCGGGGTCGTCCTTGACACAGCTTAATCCGTCGCCCATCCCCTCCGCTTCTTCCCTTCCTTCCTTGTTCTCTGCTTCCCCTCTTCCTCCCAGAGGGCGCTCTTCTCTGCATGACTGGGGACGTGCTCCCCTGCTTCGATGCATCTCGCATCTGCCTGCCATTCCACGGTGCCCTGGTTTCTTGTTCCCATTTGTCCCCCTTCCCCCCAGAGGGCGCTCTCTTCTGCATGACGGGGGACGTACTCCCGTGCTTCGACGCATCTCGCATCTGCCTGCCGACCCACGGTGCTCTCGTTGTCACCGCTGCTGCGCCGCTAGAGGTAGCTTCCAGGCACGGAGTCATTCTTGCCTCGGACCGAAGCAGGCACGTTGCCTCGGGCCAAACCTCCTCGCAGTCTCACTCGAACCAGCGATATTCACACCTGCAGAAGCAGAAGCAGCAGCAGCAGCAGAAGAAGCAGCAGCATGGAAAGCATTGTGACACGGAACCGCCCCAGCTAGTAGCAGACCTGCTGCAGAAGCCGAGTGTGGTGGAGATGGTGGAGCGGGGGGCATTGTGCGGCACGGGAGGGGCGCTGCTGGACACAGGCATCTACGTTGTCTGCGGCGACACGTGGCGCGACCTCATTGGCCTTGCGACCAGCGAGCATGATTTGCTGGCAGAGGTGCTGGCCTTTGGTGAGGAGGTGAGTGAGTGGGGCTGGGCTTTTGGAATTCACGCAACTGCTTTGGGTGAGGAGGTGAGTAACTGGGGTTGGGCTTTGAGAATTCACACAAATTAACTGCTTCGCCTGAGGAGGTGAGTGGGGTGGGGGCATTGCGGTGACATGTGGCGCGACCTCATTGGCTCCGTGACCAGCGAGGATGATTTGCTGGCGAGGTGCTGGCTTTTGGTGAGGAGGTGAGTGGAGGGGGCGGTGCTATGTTGCAGGGGGCGGTGCTATGTTGCAGGGGGCAGTGCTATGCTGCAGGGGGCGGTGCTATGCTGCAGGGGGCGGTGCTATGCTGCAGGGGCCGGTGCTGTGCTGCAGGGGGCGGTGCTATGTTGCAGTGGGTGGTGCTGTGCTATGTAGCATCAGCATGGGTGTCTTAAAAACCGCGGTTTCCTTAGAATTCTCATATACGCTGCTATCTTCTTGCATTTTCCCCTTGTGCTCGTATCTCCAGTTGGATCTATGCAAGGAGCTGGCATCGGCATGGGTGCCAGCGCGCCACCTAATCTCTGCTTGCTATGTGTCTTCCGTTGCATGTGTGCTCTTCCCTTCAGTTGAGTCTATACGAGGAGCTCGCATCGGCATGGGTGCCAGCGCGCCACAAGTGGCTCTCAACTCGACCCATCGGGTCACACCTGCTGGCCCATCTCAGCTCCCACTCGCTCTTCCACCACTGTGCAGGCAAGTCTGGTTGTCTGCATCCTTTTCCCCACTCTCTGCAATCCATTTCCCACTGCACGAGCGCGCCACAAATTGCTTCCCTCTTGGTCTGTTGGCGCACACCTGCTCGCCCACCCACCTCAGCTCGCACTTGCTCCTCCAGCACTACGCAGGCAAGTCTAGCTGAATACTGTTTCAGTGCGAACAACGCACCTCATCTCTCTCTCATCTCAGCTCCCACTCGCTCTACCACCGCAGCGCAGGCAAGTCTGCTGCTTGGCTGGTCGTGTGCATGCTGTTTCGCGCTCTCTGCATTTCGCTTCTCATCACCCCACACACACGTGCGCCTCACCTACTCTACTCTAGCGTGCCTCAGAACTATTACCACTCCCTCCCCCTTCCCCCCCACCTTTCGTTACCCCTCTCTCCCCCTTCCCCCCACCTTTCGTTACCTCTCTACCCTCTCCTCCCGCCTTTGCGGTGTGACTCCTCCTCCCCCTTTTTCCCCCCACCTCTCCTTCCTCCACTCGGCACGTCCTCTGAGTATCTGCACTCAAGCACCCCCTTCCCTGCCCCTTTGCCCCCACGCTCTCTCCCCGGCATCTACCCCCGTGTGTTGAACCCCCCTACAGACGATCTCTCCTTCCTCCATTTTGGCACCTCCTCCGAGTATCTGCACCACATGCGCGCGCCTCGCCTACCCTGGGGGGTTCTTATTCTGCTGCATGCACTCCCAATCCCCCCCCCCCCACTTCAGACGATCTCTCCTTCCTTCACTTTGGCACATCATCCGAGTATCTGCGCCACATGCGCCTTGCCTACTTGGGGCAAATGCCGCGCCGCCACCTCAGCGTGGCCCCTGCACCAACAGAGTGCCACGTGACGCAATCCGCAACGCTTATTTCGTCGCTTGTGCGCCCCGGCGCATGCGTCGGGGAGGGCTCTGTTGTGTCTGACAGCACGCTGGTTGGGGGGACGCGGATTGGAGATGGATGCATCGTGATTGGCGTAGACACTGCTGCTGCTGAGTCAGCACATGCTGAGACAGCGCATGCTGAGTCAGCATCTGCCAAGTCAGCAGCTTTTTCCGAATCAGCATCTGCTGAGTCAGCACTCGGTGAAGCTTCCAATCATGCAGCCACCATGCCGCCACCCCACGGACGTACCCCCATCCCATCTACCACTTCAAGCTATCCCGCTCCTCCTCCTCCTCCTCCTCTGGTGCTCCCTAGTCACATGTGTCTATGGCAGGTGCCCCTAAAAGGGGGGCGGGAGGTGACCCTGTGCTGTGGCGTGGACGACAACCCTAAGTTGTCCGTTTCTGGGGGAGGCTCCTTCTGTGGCCGCCCCTGGGGGCTGTGGCTAAAGGAGAGAGGGCTCAAAGCGGCGGATCTATGGCCGGGTGAGTTTGTTTCTTCCTAGGCACCTCTTATTTAGAGTCCTCCCAGCCAGCCCATGCTAACCCCCCCCCCGCCCCCTGGGCTCCTGATTCCCAAGCACACTCACTCAACAAAACAACCTTTCCAAGCCTCTTTTGGCACTCTTTTCCCTCTTCACCCCACTCCAGAAACAGACAACCAAGGCCGCCCAATTCACCCGAAGCAGGACCTCTGGAGTGCCCTCCTCTTCCCCATCCTCCCCCGGGGCTCCGGCCTTCCCCTCGCCATGTGGCTTCTCGGAACCTTCCCTCCCGCTTTTGATCAAGCTTCCTCTTGCCATGTGGCTCTCAGCCAACAGCAGGCTGACACGTGGCGCAGATCTGACCGCACGTCGCTCGCTCTCCTGCACTCCGAGATCGACTTCCCCGCTCTGCTCGCCTCGGCGTTACACCGCCGGTCCCTGCTGCTCTCTGGTTTCGCGCCTGCTGCTATAGACGGCAGCTGTTCACCTGCTGACAGTGGCAGTGCTGGTGATGCGTCCAGAGGGTGTCTCTTAGGAGCAACACGCACAGCATCAGCTAGTGAGGGTGATGGTGGTTCTAGTGCTGCTATAGATGGCAGCTGTTCACCTGCTGCTGCTGTTGCTGCTGGTAGCAGCAGTGCTGGTACTGGTGATGCTTCTAAAGGGTGTTGTATGGGCGCAACACGCACAGCATCAGCTAGTCGTGAGGGTGATGCTACTATAGGTACCAGTAAGGGTGACATTACTAGACGACCCCCTGCTTCTGCCACAGACGGAGGGTCCCTGGGGCGCAACTTTGCGTCTCGCGCGTCAGCTGCTGCTTGCTGACCTGGTGGACTCACATGTCAGTGAGAATGCGCCCTAGGAGGTCGAGATCGGCTCGCCCATACCTCTCAAAATCTGCTTGATCTCATCTGCAGCCTCCCCGCTCCTCCCCACTCCTCCCCACTCCTCCCCACTCCTCCTCACTCCTCCCCCCTCCTCCCCCCTCCTCCCCCCCCTGTGAGTGTGAGGTGGAGTGCCTTCATACATACCCCTTCACTCAGCAACAGCCCAGCCATACACCCTAAACGGCTCGACCTGAAAGGCATGGTCGAGCCGTTTAGGGTGTATGGCTGGGCTGTTGCTGAGTGAAGGGGTATGTATGAAGGCACTCCACCTCACACTCACAGGGGGGGGAGGAGGGGGGAGGAGGGGGGAGGAGTGAGGAGGAGTGGGGAGGAGTGGGGAGGAGTGGGGAGGAGCGGGGAGGCTGCAGATGAGATCAAGCAGATTTTGAGAGGTATGGGCGAGCCGATCTCGACCTCCTAGGGCGCATTCTCACTGACACCTGGGATCGGCACCAGGAGTTCGACCCGCACTGTAGCAATCCACGTGTCGACGCGCTATTTGCCGCCGTGGGGCATCTTAGTTGCGGTGCGAAGCTGGCAGGGGTGGGAGAGGGGGGCTTTGCAATGATCATGGGGAGAAGCGGGGAGGCGGCAGATGAGATCAAGGGGGTCTTGAGAGGGATGGGTGAGCCGGTTAGGGTGTACGACTGGGGTGTTGCTGTGTGAGGGTGTGTTAAGGCACACCACCTCACACTCACAGGGAGGGGGGATGCTGTGATAATCAAGAAGAGTGGGGAGGCTGCTGTCTAAAGGCATGGACGGGTGAGGCGGTCAGGGTCGATGACTGGCTGTTGCTGTGTGAGGAGGGTTCACCTGTGCGAGTTCACGTGGGGGGGGGAGTTGGCTGGGGCAGGAGAGGGGGGAATCTGCAATGGTCATGGGGAGGAGTGTGGGGAGGGGAGCAAAGCCCCCGCTCAGGCGGCAGATGAAATCAGAGCTGAAAGGCCCTGGCCCTTGCTTTCTAGACGTGTATTCTTTCGCAGCAGCCTGCTGCGCGTTAGTTCATGATCAACCTGCAAGAATCGGCCCAAGGAGCTCACACCCGGCTTCAGACACCACTACAGAGAATTACCGTACCAACAATAAATCGAATAAAGAATACCATGTTAAAGCAAATCCAAAAGCATGTGATACAAGAGTCGAGTCCATTCATCGGGAGGTCCTGGCAAGCAGTAATGCAAGCAGTCAGCAGGGGGGGAGCTGTGGCCATCAGGTCTCAAGGCCGTCATATAATCTACATCCAAGAACACACCGCCTACCCCCCTCACCAACTCCCTCGCAATCTCATTTTGCCGGGCAAAATCCCCCCAATGATAGGGTAAATCGCCCGGGTTTTGTCGATCAGCCAATGGGTCTGTGAGAATGTCGCAGTCTTTGTGTCCTGGTGGCGAGCTGCGGTAGATGATCAGGAGATCTGGCACCGCTGCTCGTGCTTTGTTAAGTGTTTCGTTCAGCTCCGCTCGGAACACTTCGTCCTCTTTATAGTGCGCCCCGCGATTCAGAATGAGGATAGAGGCGGGTTGGTAGCCTCCCAGTAAAGTGTGGGAATGAGGGTCATCTCCATTCTGTGGCTGAATGATATCGATCCACGGGAGGGAGACAAGCTCGGGGATTCTTATAGTGGGTTCCAAGCTTGTATGGAGTATGTCATCCCGGAGGTAAAGGAACAGTGTATTACTGAGCCGACTGTTGTTAGCACTACCGCTGCTGCTGCTGCTGCTGCTCCTGCTGCTGCTGCTGCTGCTGCTGCCACTGCTGCCGCTGCCGCTGCTGCTGCTGCTACTGCTGCTGCTACTATCACCACCTGTACCATCATGGTCAAAGCCCAAGGAAACAGCGCCACAGAACGCCACATCTGGCCTCTCCTGCAGCTGCGGGTGCTGCAAGCGCTGCTCGCACACAGCAAGAACCTCGTCCCGAGCAACAACCCTCCCCACACGTCTCCTCTCCACACTCTCCCTCTCTACACCTCCCCTCCTCAAACTCCCCCCTCCACACTCTCCCCCTCCAAACTCCCCCTCTCTTCTCTCCCCCTCTCTACAAACTCTTCACCGTACCTAGAGAAGCCCTGATCCCTCACGTGTCTCTGCAGCAGGTGATTCCTTATCGACCTGAACATCATAGAGCTGAGCGAATCCCCCACTATAAGCACAGTTCTCCCTGCAAGCACAGTGGCCAGTCTCGCCCTGTCGAATTCCCCCCACGCCCCGCACTTAAGCTTCACTCGCCACCGGTACCTAAGTGTTTCTCTTACTCTCCACTCTGCTGCTGGCCGTGCGAAGATGGATATTCTGTCTGCTGCTTCAAATGCCAAGTTTGGGAATGACGCTTCTTGCCGTGCTGAAGGCGCAGAGTTCCCGTCAGGTGTTGTCTGCTCGTCAGGTAGATTGTTGCCTTCAGGTGTTGTCTGCTCGTCAGGTAGATTGTTGCCTTCAGGTGTTGTCTGCTCGTCAGGTAGATTGTTCCCTTCAGGTGTTGTCTGCTCGTCAGGTAGATTGTTGCCTTCAGGTGCTGCAGATGCTGCTACGGCGTCAGGTGATTCAGATGCTGCCATGGCTTCAGGCGATTCAGGTGTTTCAGGCGTATTAATCACTTCAGGTGCTTTAACTTCTTCAGGTGCTGCAGCTTCTTCAGGTGCTTCAGTTTCTTCAGTTGCTTCAGGTGCTGCGAGTGATGACTCGTCTAGATCCGGAGGCACGAGAACCCCTTGCCCCTCACTCAATTCTTCACCCACACTCCCTGTCGCTGCTTCGTCCACGCTTAAGTCCCCAAACTCTTCAGGTGCTCCCCATGCTTCAGGTGCTTCCGACTCTCCTGGTTCCGATATTGCTGAAGCGTCTGCTTGGCTATCTGAGGCGAAAGCTGCCCCATCAGAGCCGTCTGTTTCCGCAATTGGCTGATCTAAGATTTCCTGATCTAAGCGGCTGGTTGCAGCAAGCTCTTGGGCCTTTCGTCCTTCCACTGCTCCGTCTCCCATCTTGCCTGCGACCACCTGATCCTCCCCTCCCACACCACCATCTTTCCCACTCTCCTCTCCCTCTGCTGCCTCTCCTTCTCGTGAAGCCCCCACGCTTTCCTCTCCCCTCGTCTCCTCCCCACCACCCTCCTCTCCTTGTATCTCATCTCCACTAGCTTCCCCTTCCCCATCCTCCTCCCCCGCCCTCTCCTCGCGCCACATTTCCTCCCCCGCCCACCGCACGTCGCATTCCCCCCCCGACCATCCCCCCCTTGGGGTCCAGGGCAGGGGGCGTGGCAGGGGGTCCAAGTCCCACACGCCCTGCGATGCGAGGCACTCGAATCGGCGCTCAAACGCCCTAAGAGCGCTTGGAGAGAAGAGGCGGGAGCCGGGAATGAGTGGGTTGGGGCGAGAGGGTAGCAGGGGACCGGGGATGGCCGACTTAGGGCGAGTTGGTGGTTGGGGCCCAGGGATGGGCGGCAGCGGAGGAGACACCACTCCTGCCGCCTGGGTTTCGCCGTTCAGTGGGCGTGGTGGGCGCACAGAGGAGTCTGAGAGGAATGAGGGAGAGGGGAGAAGTGGAAGATAGGGATGAGAGGGGGCTCGCATGAGGGTGGGTGCGATTGGGGAGTATTGGATCGAAGGGTGAAGGGGACAGGTTGGGGGGAATAGCGAAAAGGCTGTTGATGGAAAATGCCCAAAAGATAGTCAAAATACTCACTACTTGAGCCTAATATTTTAGCTGCTCACCTGCTCCCAGCTGCCACTTTCGCCTGAGTGAAACAGCAGCAGCAGAAGGAGCCGCTAGTGCCTCCCCAATAATGGACGGCTGAAGCTGCTGCTGCGACTGAGACAGAGGTGAGTGAGAGAGATGTGACTGTAATGGAGGCTGCGGCAAGGAGACGGAAAGGAGGGCGCTGAGAGGTGTGACGAAGTCGAGATATACCCCGAGGAAGAGGAGGAGGAGAAGGAGAGGGAGGAGGAGGAGGAAGAGGAGGAGGCATGGCCTGCGATTGGACAAGTGACAATGAAGAACGGGAGGAGGAAGGCACGAAAGGGAACCCTCAGAACCACGGGAAGAAGAAAGACAAAGGCGAGTATAGAAGAGGAAAGGGAGGAGGCTCGGCCTGCGATTGGAACGCGCAAGCGAGCGTGCAGCAGAGAGCTGAAAGACCTGGACGCAAGTTAGGACTTGGACGAAGTAAGGAGTAGGGCAGTTTGAAAAACGGAACCCTTGAAAAACAGTCTGTAACTACGAAAAAAAACGCCTGCTTCCAGTGAGAACGCTGGCTATTGAAAGCATTGCTAATCGCAGCGCACGAAGGCGTGACACAGCAATTAGAAAACGGGAGACGGAAAATACGACTCTCACCTTTCTAATAGAAATGGCCTGCTAAATTCGGCCGAAATGAACGGAAGCTGCCAGAAGCTGCAGCTGCGGTCCAGGTTCCACGGTAGTGTACGTGTGCCGCTGGTTCCTGACGCTGTGAGCACAACTCGCTGGTTTAGCTGCCACTGGTTCTTACTTCTCGCCGCCATAACATTCTAAAACGCGGGTTTTGGATTGGTAGTGCGGGCGGACAAGGAATCATTAGTCATCGAAACGGCCTGATGTATGAAATGAAAACACAAGGCGATGGGTGGTGTCAACTTATACATGTTAGTTGTGTACAAGTTATAGGCTAGACTGGGGTATGCTTTTAGTGAGTACAACCAACTAGTATTTGTTCTAGGTTTCTACCTCTAGTTCATTCATTCTGTTCTTACTTTAACATGGTATCACGCATAGGTTAGAATCCCCCACCTACCGCTTCCGCCTGTACCCTAGCTAGGCCCCGCCGCTTCCCCCTGGGCCCCGTCGCGCCTCCTAGCCCCGTCGCGCCCCTCCTGGGCCCTTCCGTGCCTCCTAGCCCAGTCGCGCCCCTCCTGGGCCCCGTCGTGCCCCTCCTGGGCCCCGTCGCGCCTCCTAGCCCCGTCGCGCCCCTCCTGGGCCCCGTCGCGCCCCCTAGCCCCGTCGCGCCCCTCCTGGGCCCCGTCGCGCCCCCCTAGTCCCGTCGCGCCCCCTAGCCCCGTCGCGCCCCTCCTGGGCCCCGTCGCGCCCCCCTAGCCCCGTCGCGCCCCTCCTGGGCCCCGTCGCGCCTCCTCGCCCCGTCACGCCCCTCCTGGGCCCTGTCGCGCCTGCTAGGCCCCGTCGCGCACTGCCTGGCCCCGCCGCGCCCGCTTGGCCCCGTCGCGCCCGCCTGGCCCCGTCGCGTCTGCCTGGCCCCGCCGCGCCTCCCTCGCCCCGCCGCGCCTGCCTGGCCCCGCCGCGCCCGCCTGGCCCCGCCGCGCCTCCCTGGCCCCGCCGCGCCTCCCTGGCCCCGCCGCGCCTCCCTGGCCCCGCCGCGCCTGCTTGGCCCCTACCGCGCCTGCAAGGCCCCGCCGCGCCTGTTAGGCCCCGCCGCGCCTCCCTGGCCCCACCGCACCTGCCTGGCCCTGCCGCGCCTGCCTGGCCTCGTCGCGCCCACCTGGCCCAGCCGCGCCTCCATGGCCCCGCCGCGCCTGCCTGAGACCTGCCGCGCCTGCCTGGCCCCGCCGCGCCTGCCTGGCCCCGCCGCGCCTCCCTGGCCCCGCCGAGCCTGCCTGGCCCCGCCGCGCCTGCCTGGCCGCGCCGCGCCTGCCTGGCCCCGCCGCGCCTGCCTGGCCCTCCCGCGCCTGCCTGGCCCCGCCGCGTCTCTCTGGCCTGTCCCACTACTCGCCTGGCCCCTCTTCGTGCCTGCTCGGCCTGCCGTGCCACCTCGGGCTCCGTCTACTGTGCTCGCAAGCGCTGGGGCGTCTCGCGGCTGCCGTGCTGGAGAGTGCCGCCGCCGTGTCCCTGCATCGCTGTGTTCCTGCGGAGCTGTGGAGCTGTGCCGCTGACCCTGCACGATGGCCGACTTTGTGCTCCGCCTGGACGCTGAGGGCCATGCGGTTGACTTCGCCGCCTGGCTCTCCGATCTCCGCCGCCACCTTACAGGTCAGCGCCAGGATGGCCACTCTTTGGTTGTCCATGTCGATGGCTTGCTCCCCCGCACCTGCTCCCCTCCCTGCTGACCCCTCCTCTGATGACCGTGAGACCTTCTCTACTGCTGCGCTTGCCCGTGCGGTCTGGGACTCTCGCGATGCAGTCGCTCAGGTCGCTATTAGCCACGCCCTCCCTGTGTCTGAGCACTCGCGCTTTGCTACTATTGAGACGGCCAAAGCTTACTTAGGCGCCGTTATTGCTCGCTGTTCCACACCCGCGTATGCTTCTGCTGGCCGCCTGCTCTTCCTATGCTTTTCCCAGACCTTGCAGCCTTCCCTACAGTCGCAGACTTTGCCACTCACCTGCGTGCCCTAGAGACCCGCTATCGCACTGCCAGCACTGCTGCCCAGCTCACTGCGCTCCCACCCCCTTTCTGCATGATGCTCTATTTTATCGCCATGCGCCTGCCAGACCACCTCGCTAGTGCTCGCGATCACTTCCTTTGTCGATACCCTCACCGAGATCGAGACTCGCCAGCGCACTATCGCTTAGTCGAGCGGTGCGCCGGCAGTCTCTATCTTTCACGGTTGTGCCCCCTCCCAGTGCACGTTCACTGACGTTTCGGCTGCGGTCGCCACGGCGACCCCTCTCACCGAGACGGCTGCTACGGTCCACCCGCAGCAGCGCTCGCGCCGCGGTGGCCGTGGCCGTCAGGGAGGTAGGGGTGGTGGTGCAGGTGGTGGTGGTGGTGGTGGTCGTGACGGTAGTCCGCCTGAGGGGACTACCACCGGTGGGGAGGAGCAGCAGCCCCAGCCGCAGCAAGAGCAGCCCCAGCAGCAGCCGCCGTCCCAGCAGCAGCCGCCGCAGCCGTCGGGCCGTGGGCACCGTGGTGGCGGCTCGCGCAGCTCGGCGTCTACCGGCGGCTCCGGTGCTGTGACCTGCCAGTACCAGCTTCAGACTGGGCCTCTCCGCGGCACTCTGTGCCGCCGCCCGCACCCGACCGCCCGCTGTTTCCGCCGCCTCGACGATCCCTTTCGTCGTCGCTTTGGCCCAGCCCCGGACCTCCCCGACTGGCACAGCCTGCTCTGCCAGGGCGTGCCGATCTTTGAGTTAGACATGGATCAGATAGGTGCTGCTTTGCATGCTTTGTATTCTGACGCTTCTAGTGTTGCTGGATCTTATTACCCTGTGTACTCTAGCTTTGGTGTAGCACCACTGTGTAGCTTAGCCTCCCCTACTACGTCAGGCGTAGGACTGCCTAGTTTGCCTAGCCTAGTCTCTGCACCGGCTCCGTTCCCGGCCTCCGCCGATGCTTCGCTGTCCTTCACTCTCGACTCCGGTGCCTCTGCCTGCTTCTTCCGCGACCGTTCCGCGCTCACGCCGCTTGCTACGCCTGCTGTTGTCTCTCTCGCCGACCCCTCTGCGGGTCCTGTCGTCGCTCGCAGTTCTACATCCCTTCCCTGTCCAGCAGTTCCCTCGGGCTCCCTTACAGGTCTCCACGTTCCCTCGTTCTCGAGGAACCTGGTTGGTATCGGCTGTCTCCAGGACCTCGGCGTCACCACCACGTTCCCCGGGCACGAGCGGTTCGCTGTCTGTTCTGAGTCTGTCTCAGGTTCCCTTCTTGCGACGTTCCCCCGGGACCCGGTGTCCGGTCTGTTCACCCTAGACACCGCTTCCCCCCTGGTTGGTGCGTCCTCCCAGGTCGCTGCAGCTTGCTCGTGTCGGTCCCTCACTCACCCGTCCCTCTCTGGCACCACCGCCTAGGTCACCCTGCACTCCCACGTCTGCGTCACATGTCCCAGCACGGTCTTGTCTTAGGTCTCCCTGCTTCGCTCCCTGCCCTTCCTCCCTCGACTGCGCCACCGTGCACGCCTTGCGTCGAGGGCCGGCTCCGCTGCTCCCCTCACTCCTCCTCGCTACGCCCTGCTACTGCCCCCGTTCAGACCCTGCACCTGGACGTTTGGGGCCCTGCCCCCGTCCCCCGACCGCGAGGTGAGCGCTACTTCCTTGTGCTCGTCGACGACTACATGCGCTACACCACGGTGTTTCCCCTGGAGCAGAAGGCCGACGTGCCCAACGTTCTTCTCCCGTGGGTCGTAGCTGCGCGTCTTCACCGCGGTCTCCCCGTGTTGTGTCTCCACTCTGACCGTGGCGGCGAGTTCGCCTCTGGTCGGCTAGGACAGTTCTGTCGTGCGGAGGGCATCACCCAGTCGTACACCTTGCCGGACTCGCCACAGCAGAATGGGGTTGCTGAGCGCCGCATCGGCTTGGTCATGGAGGTCGCCCGTACCTCCATGATTCATGCCGATGCCCCCCATTTTCTGTGGCCGTTCGCTGTTCACTACGCTGCTCACCAGCTTAACCTGTGGCCCCGCTCCCAGCGGCCGCAGGTTTCGCCGACCCTCCTTTGGACCGGGTCCCCCGGTGACGCGTCTGCGTTCCACGTCTAGGGCTGCCTTGCTCACGTTCGTGCCTCTGGCACGGACAAGCTCACTGCCCGCACTGTCCCCTGTGTCTTCCTCGGTTTCCCCCTGGACTCGTCTGACTGGCTTTTCTACCACCCGCCGTCTCACCGCTTCCTCCACTCTCGTGACGTCACCTTTGACGAGTTTGTCTCCTTCTACCGTCGCTTCCCTCACCGAGGTCTCCTGGTTGCCCCCCCCCTGTTCCTTGCTCCCTCTCCCCCGGTAGCCCCTGCCCCTCTCCCGCCTCGTCCTGCCCTGTCTGGTGTCTCTCACGTCACTCCCCTCCCGTCGTTTGTCCCCGTTGATGAGTCTGCTGACTCTGGTGGTACCCCCAGTCCGTCCTTGCCGCGTCCCCCTTCCCCGGTGCCTCCGCCCCCGCTGTCGCAGTCGCCGACCCCGCTGCAGCCGCCGCCACCGTCACCGCCGCAGCCATCGCCACTGTCGCCGCCCCGCTCTTGGCCCCTGGGGGTGCTGGAGTTGAGGCGGGTGTTCGTCCTTCGTCTTCTGGGGGTGCCGCTGGTGTTGGAGGGGGTTCTCGCTCTGGGGGTGTTGGTTCTGGGGGTGCTGCTGTTGAGTGTTCTGCCGACGGTCGTCCTGCCTCAGCCGGTCCGAGGGTTCCGGCCCAGCCGTCGCCGCCGCCGCAGCAGCCGTCGCCGCCGATCTCCGCTCTCCGCCTGCTCGGCCTTCCCTCCCCGGACCGCGCGCCGGTGTCTCCCCCACTGCCGGCTGACCTTCCTGTCTACAGTCCTGTGTTCCCGCTGCCGAACTCGCCTCTGGCCCGCCTTCCTCCTCGTTCCCCTCGTGTGTCCCCTCCGCTGTCCCCTGACCCTACACATCCGTCTCACGTTTGGTCTCGCCGTCCCTCCCGTGCTCGTCCCATCTCTCCTGTCCTTCCCACCCACCCTATGTTGCTCCGTTCCCGCTCGTCTCGTCCTCCCCTCCTCCCGTCCCCTCCTCCCTCATCCCTGGCTATTGCACCTCCTCCGTTCTCTGACTACCTCCGTGCCGCTCGTCCCCTTGTCCCTCGGGTCCTTGCCTCTCTTGTTACCGACCCTGCTGTTCCTGTCTCGCGCCTTGACGCGCTTGTCGCTGCTGTCGCTGACTTTGCCTCTA